ACCTCCATCCCATGAGGAACAAGGTCAACAGAATGGGATGGTGATCCCAAAATAACAATCCCAAGCACCAACAACACCCCCCCTCTCTTAAACAACACAATCACACAATCAAAGCCCCACTGCCTTTCCCTCATTGTTTAATTTCTGCTGGCTATCTTAGATATCTCTGCGGCTGTTCTTATCTTTGACCTTCAGCTTGTTGCTTTGTCGTCGCCCCCCCACCCTCACCCTCCCCTCCACCCACCTACCTGCTCCCACCCCCCACGCCAGTGTGCTGCGACCTTCAGAGGGGTGTCATTACTCCCTGACCCATTTGACGATCCCCTCATGTGGAATGTGCATATGCCGAATCGCTGCGGATCTGCACAGTATGGGGTGAGGTGAAGTACTTACAGAAATATGACTTGACACGCTTTATCAAATGGGGAAAGATGAAGACGAAACAGCTGCTGGTGCTGTCGTAAGCAATCTGGCCGTGATTGAATAAAAGTGTCAGGAAAAGGGCCGCTTGATGGTCTTTTGTTCTCCCCCATCCAGCTTGATGTTAGTTTGAGCTGTCAGGAGGGAATCACAGCTGGGTGATTTATCAATACTTGGAGTGACCTTGCAGCCACACTGCTGTGTGTGTATGTATGTGTGTGTTTGTGCACAAACTTGTATCTGTGTGTGGCTCTCGTGGATTAAAGAGACACAAAGTGGAATATTTTCAAAATAGTTGGCAAACACAGACAAAGACTTGGCTTGACTTGGAACGAAACTCTCTCTTCTCTTAGACACAGTAAGTGGATTGTTCTGCCAACACGATAAGGGTATTTTTCTCAACATCAGAGTGCTCAAAGTACCAACAGCAAATGTTTGGGAGACGTGTGTCTCTTTTAACTAACGCTGCTTTTGAACAGGTTTTTCCATAAATCTCTTTACTATTTTTTCCTAACCCGTCCACACCATCTCCTCACCTCAGTACTACTTTCTTTGAGATGTACTTGGACAGCCTGTTTTCACAGCAGCCATTGACTGTCTCTGTTGTGATTAAGCAGATGTTTTATTGCAGACTGGAACAGTCATTACTGCCATAAACCCATCTGTGGAATTGCTTTTTATGCAAATTTACAAAGCATCTGCATAAATAAAGTTCTAATTAATACCTTTCTGCAAACCTCTGCGCTCTTTGATTTCTAAGTGTTCTTAATTGTGTACAAGCAGGTATAAAGTACAAATCAATGCTCACAACATGAGAGGGTTTTGTTGTCCATGTACACCATTTGTGGGTTTTTTTTATTACTCTTTTAGTAGAACTGTGAATAAATAAGAAAAAATGTTGTTTGCCAATATTTCACACAGTTATAGATTTTTGAAAGTACACTGCTCAGCTGTTATTTACAGATATACATTATATTTAGATTTTGACAACCCAACATGGTTAATTATTGACAAATCTTTGATTAAAAATGAGCTTCGAGCAATTTCAATCAAGGATAACATTTATGTAAAGATGCAGTGAGTAGCATTTTTAGCTCCCGTTGTAGGTTACAAGGGAAATAAAACAAAATCTGCTGCTACCGGTTGATTGGGAACTACTGAAGAGTAAAGTTTCCCTGAGAACATTAAGGCTGCTTTATAGATCCCTTTGTTGTGAGGGTGCCAATGGAAGCTCATTAATTTCCCCAGGTTTTTAATAGGGAGTGTTGAACATGTGGCAAGAGTTGTCTTGGTGGGACCCTTATGAGTTGCACCTCTGCTGTTGAAAGGATGCCATGCTTTTTAATTGTAAAGGTGTCCCTTTGCTAAGTAATCAAGCGCATTGATTGTTGTTTTGAAAATTGTACAGACCTTTTTATTTAAGCAGTGTGATTGAGGATTTCCTTTTTAAATTCAAATTTTGTCACTTTTAATATGCCATATTTTGTATGTCCATTCTTTTTGCTGTTGTTGTTTTCCACATTTTCCTGTTTTGTAAAATAATCGTATAAATAATTAATTTTGCTCACATTCCCGGTATGCTTATGATCTCTGCAAAGTACGTTGTTGTAATGAACCCAGCTTAGAGTAGCTTTGGTGCGGGTGTTCTTATATACCAAAGTACAGTAAATATAAAAGCTAAAAGGCATTTTGAGTGAACTTGAACTTGCATTACCTCTGAAATCAGAAGAAAAGAAATTCTATGAATAAAGACTGACTTTGTTTAATGATTAAAGGAGGCATCTGAGCCGTGAGTGAGGAGGAGGGGCTGAAGTCAGTGAGGTCAGGGGAAAATGAAGAATGCTTTCAAGACATGTGTTGACATGAAGAAATTAAACTTTTGTAGGAACTAAGCAACTGCACTTTTCCCAAAGCACATGGATATCCCTGTTGCGTGTACTTGTGAATGTTACTTTCATCATATTAAGTTGATTCACTAGGTGGCAGTGTCACTTTTTAAACACATTACCTCTTGAGTAGCACCGTCACACAATAGTTGGGTTAACTACTGCATGTGACTGGATTACTATGCATTAGTTTATTTGTGTGCTGGCAAAGCGAAACCAAACATTTGAAATAAAATATTGAATTACAGTTACGGTGAACCATTAACTTTTTTAACTTGGTGACAGTAATTAAAAAAAAAAAAAAAACCCTCCAATGAAGGAGAGTCTGCTTTCATCAACATTGCAACGCGAGCCAGGATTTCTTATACAGCACAAAATCTGAACACAGGTTATGCTGCTCTGTCTCGCTCTCTCATCAGCTAGTGAGATCTAGCAACTTTTAGCATAATGAATTTAGCAGGGATGCCTTCTCTACACAGTCCATCAGGCCTGCCATCTAGCAGATTAAATTATGTCTGTAAGCATTAAAGCTTTGATGCTGTATTTGGGCGGCATGCATGCATCCATTTGCAAAATTCTATATAACAAAATTAAAAACATGGACACCTATGGAAAATGGCTTGGCACTAGCACTTAAACCCAACCACTCCAAACAGTTTGCTGACTAATGCATTTCTAATCATTTCTGTGATCAATGTTAGCTACTGTGCAATAAGATTAATCAGCCATATGCAAAGCTAGGATCACCTTGAACGAGGCAAGAAGAAAGAAGAAAAAAAAGGGAGATAAAAGGACTGAAAGAAAGCGTCTTTGCTATTATGTATGATAAGCACACTATACAGAAATAAAGCACACCTGCATTATTCACGTTTTTCACGCCGTTGGTTCTGTGTGTGTGTGTGTGTGTGTTTGTGTGGCATTACACCGTTGTGCTCCCCTCAGCTGTGCTTTGGCATCTGTGCGTGGCCATCTCACTGCTGAATAGCTGCCTGATTATTCCAAATCTAAGGGAATATTCAAACAAGGCCGATAATGCATTCTTCCATATGATTCTCCAGAGCTGGGACAGCTGTTCAGCAGCTTTCAATGCCATGTTCAGAAAGGGACAGATTTCTCAGCTCAATTAATAGGCCCCATTAAAAAGCAGAGAGAAGTTTGTCAAATGAAGCAGAGATTCAGTTTGTCTTAGAAAGAAGGTTTCAAAAAGAACTACCTCGTATCGCTGATAAGTAGCTACACTTTAACCAGAATGATTGGGAAATTAATGTTTGACTTCATAATCAATGGCCACACAGGATTTCAATAGCCATGTAGGCAAACTGGGCTGATGTATTGAAACGTGCTTCTGTACGCACACAAAGGCTGCACTATACGAGGAGTGTCGTTTACATTTTTCCAGACAATAACTGTCAGTAACTTTGTCACTGAATGCAGTTGTCCAAATCAAACAGATTACAACCAGGTCAATTCCACAAAACCTGTCCAACAAAAATGATAAAACTCTAATGACAAGAATTTGTCAGCTGCATCAGACAGGAGGAATTACCACAGATCAGTGTGTCTTTGTTCGCTTCACTTTGGCCACACAGTGATCTGAGAATGCAGAGTGGTGCTGCAATGCCGGTGCCTTGTAAAGTTTCAACTGGCAGATGAATTCTTTCAGGCTGGCTTCCCCCCCCCCATCTCTCTCCCACTCTCTTTAGAACAACGAGGAGGTTGTCTGTCCAAGGGCACACCTGTAAGGTGCAGACCCTCGACAGGCTTACCTCAGTGGCCTCTCCTGCTGTACTCAAAAGGCAATTATTCCTCCCAGAAGATAGAGCACTGTCAACTTCAAACAGAGGACATTCTTTAGGCAGATTAGACTAAAATTATGTTTTATTATTTCAGCCCTGAAGAGTGAATTGGACTCTATTTGGTCGTCTTATGGTGAAATCCAAGACAGTTTAAATGGCAGAGGTATGTTTGGAGTCAGGGTAATACTCTGGTGTCTTTATGAAAGGGCAACAGAGAGGATCAGATTAGAAGCTGAACAGCGAGAGTCTTTCAGTGCGGCTGTGCTATCATCTCTGTCTTCTTGTCCGTGCCTGTAGAGAGGTTAAATTAAATGGCTGTAATAAATGTTTTGGTCTTGCTGATGTGGTATGGCTGGCTATCAAACGAAAACACTGTGGAGAAACGGCATGGTGGAAGATCAGAGAGAGGAACAAATGGAGGGTGGGAGAACTATGTCAGCACATTACCAACATTAGAAACGGACTTGTTTTCACTTAAACCTCAATTATAATGGTGGCTCCAGAAACAATTATATTGATGAATGCTTTCTAAGTTACTGTAATTAAATTATTCCATTTAATTAACGAATTATATTGAATTTCTCCCCAGAGGACGGCATTAGCCTCATCTGCTGTTTTACAAACAGGAGTACTCTAATGTTGTGTGCTATGAAAATGATTACTAATGCCTAATGAAACTGTGTCAGATCAGATAAATGCTGTACAGAGTCAACAAGCCAAGCTTGTAACACAGCCAAACTTGAGACGAAATAATAAAGCCAAAGAAGAAATTATTGATTCTATTTTTTCAAGGGCAGGCTTTGTAAAGCTGACATCAAATAAATTACAATTCTGAGTGCCTACACTGGAGGTTTTAAAGAGAATATAGAAAGTCAAACAAAATAAGTATGAAGCGTCCTTGTATGAATACATATGCCAAGATTTTAATTTATAATGAAAATAATCAGTTTTCAAATTACCTTGTATGTGTCATCAAAAACACTTTCTTACAACAACAAAAAAGTCTTAGTAGCGCTTAATAAAAGTGTCAAATGATTGCATAAAAAATCCCCACATTTCTGTTTCCACTCGCTGGCTATATAAAGTAATTATACACAATATAAAAGTGGAATGCATTAACAGTGGTACTTTGATGGTTCAGTTGTACAAAGCGACAGTACATAAATGCACAAGTGAAGTTCCACTGCAGCTGACCATTGCCCTCTGGTGGGAGTGCCAAGCACCTGCTGCAAGACAGACTATATATAGAGCATTAGATTTGTTTGTATTTCTTGTGTTACACTGAATGCCATAACATTTAAGATTATTAAGAGACAAACAAAGATAGGATTGCTGCACATAAATAAACATGCTATTAGTCATAGTTCCACAAACAAAGCACAGCAAATAATCTGATCTGCATATTGAAAGTTATTTTGGCCTTTCAAAATAAAATAAAAAAACCACACACAGTGTGCTTACAGAAGCAATGTGCTACATGCGTTTATTGTCCCATCCCCTCTTGGCTTGGCCATATTAGTCCATGTGAGAGGAGAGAGGAGTTGTGATGCTGTAAGCACATACCGTGCATTCCCTCTCCTCCGCTGTGCAGTTGTTGGGCATATTGTGAGGTTTTAATACGGGGGATATGGAGGAGGGCTCGGCTCACATTCGCTGTACAGGAAGAGCCACGGCCAAGAATGACAGTTGCTCCTCTTGGAGCTGAGACATCCATGGATTTAGATTGCACTTTGAAAGGTCAGCAGCACATGACAGGCGATCAGTCAGCTCCTAATTGGATGATCAGCAGTCATTTGAATATTTTTCTGATTTTCTTTTTTTTTTTTTTTTTAACTGCATCATGAAAAATAGGAATATGTGAGCATTTTCTTGGTGGACACTCATTCTGATTATTTAAGTACTTTGTGTGGCATCCTTAACAACTTCATTACACAATCAAAATAAATTAAATAGGAACAAAACAATATCCGATAATATTAATAATGATAATAACTTTACAAAGTGCTTTACAGCAAAACAAAGATAACACAGTAACAGAGGGTTAAAGTAAATTAAGTAAATACGTCATTTAAGCAAAATTAGATCATAATTCAAACAAATAGAACAAATTTCAGTGAGTCAGGAGAAGGCCATAAGATTAAAAAAATGTTCTGAGGAAGGAAATATTTCACACTACTGAGAGGCCTTGTATCAGCAGCTTGTTTCAATATGTTTACGTTTCACGTATGACTCTTTCTAACCTCAGAGATACTAACATTTAAAACGTGTTCAGTCAAGCTTACAGTGGGTGCAGTTACAACATTTTAATAAGACGACAGAAACTGCCTGAAGAAAAACATGAATAGGAGTGGCAGTAAATGTCACATAAAAAAAAAATCCTTTTGCACACACTGATTTCTTTTCTTATATTGTAATGCGTCTAAGCCTTGTGTACGTCTGTGCCAACGTTGTGGCATACCTGTGTTTCCAGTTCCAGCATGTTGCACTGGCAAAATCATCGAACATGGTGCAATACCCCATACACCTGTGTGGGAAAAAAACAAAACCTTGTCAAGTGAGTTCTGTTTTCTTAAGCTGAAGTATAAAGCTGCTGTCACTGTGATCTCAAGAGGGCTGGAGGTTGGGTTACTGATTCTTTTGTCATTGCTGAGCCAGAAATTCAGAGTATAATCAAGGATGTAAATAACTAAAAAAAAAAAGGCAGAAAGCAACATGTCAAAGTTCCTACAAGGTCACAAGAAAAGGGTAAAAATAAGTACATGAATGCCACATTTGCAGTTTCATTGGTTCATTATAGGGCTAAGTCATGACAACTGCAGGCAGGTTCACTACGATCCATCACTGCTGAATCTAAGTATGACACACGGTGCATTTGAGTGAAATGCTGAGCTATTTTGATGGAAACATCCGCTGCCAGTATATGTGTGCAGGCTTCACTGCTGGCTCAGGAATGTTGGCATCAAGTATGCAGTCCTGACAGACAGCTGCACTGCAGTGGCGTTTTTAACATGCCAGACCAGGACCCAAGCGTGCTGGAGGCTCTGTAGAAAATCCGAAAACAGCATTAAAAAAAACTGAGAGGAAAATTGTACTAACTTGATTCAGTGTGGAGGCAGGTGAGACACTGATAACCCATCAGTGCAGGGGGGTCTTAAGAGGTCTAAAAATGCCTGAATCAACCTTAGTAATGACATTTCTAAACAATCTGGATTGAATTCAAGTTTTACTTTTCAAACCCAGCTCAGCATTTGACCCTCAAATCACAAGTCATATGAGAGTTAAAGAAGGCACTGTTGAACATGATCCTGGAGAATACTGCACTGATCACTGTCTCTCTACTCTCAAGTCTGTGGATAAACTGCTCAATTACTTGACACCGTTCACCTTCCTCAATTGCCTCTTTATCCCCCACGCGTTTAGTGTTATTTCCACCCTCAGCCATTTCACCTCATCACACAACCACAGTATTCATTACATTAGGCGTATCCTGATCGCCTGCTTGTCCTGTTTATTTTGTACAAGTTCAGCCCCGCCCTGCGGACGCGCTGATTCCACCGTCAGTTGCGTAATTTGACGAGCCAGCGCAAAAATAGGGAGAATGAACGTTTGACAGCTGGCTCTTTTTGCGCGCACAGATTGTTTCGAAACAAAAGAATACCTATGCTTAATTTATTTGTGAGAGATTTCGGATAGTTAGACAGTACCTCTTGCTTTTATGGCCGCTGCCGTGAGGAATAATGTTTGGGTTGCTCCGGGGCAGGACGCGCAGATTCTCCATAAAACCGCCACCGCGCCGCTGACAGCCGACGGTCGGAGAGGTGAAGATCATGGACAAGTGCTCTGTATCGCGAAGGATGCCATCCCGGGAACTTCCTCTTTTCATGATCATAATTTGGTAAGGGATTTTTTTTTGCTCCCTTCTTCTTCTTTTGCATCTACCTCAGAGCATCATACTGTTTACGGATACCTGCTGGTTTGACGTAGAGAGACTGTATGTTGCTGATCTGGCTGTTTTCATTTAAATATGTATGCCTAATATTGTTGGTAGGCCTGCATGTTTGTTTGCTACAATATTCACAGTCACACGTGACTGAAATTGGTCCGCACTGATGCTGACATTCACTGAGCAGAGGGTTTGAATCCCGAGCGGCCGGGCACGGCTGCCGGGATGTGAAACGTTGCACCCCCGCTCCAGCAAACTTGCGAGGAAAGAGACGCATGGCGCTGCAGAGCAACTGGATGTTCTAATTTCAGCCATGTATTTCCAAACAGCTTATGGCTAGAGCGCTTTCAGAAGGGCGTCTGCTGCTTGTAAAGGGGGGGTTGTAGTGGTGGTGGCGTCTTTTGATGTGGCAGTGTGTGTACACAAGTGCAGGCCCCAAATGTGTTCACAGCAATTAGTTTTGTTATTTTGTGATGCTTCAGTGTCAGTGGAGAGCAGTGGGGCATTCTGGTAGTGGTTTTCATTCAGCAGCAGGTCTTTTTTGGGGGGCATTGGAATCAGTGTTTTACTACTGAGGCGTTCAGGGTCCCTGATAAATCCAATGCTGGATGTGCATCTATCTTGCTGCTTTTGCAATGTCAGCGATCATGCACCCATGAGTCTGAATCAATTAGCTATTATAAACAGACACAACTTTACCTTTTCCTTCTCTTTTTGTCTTCCAGGGTAAATCAGACATGGACAGCTACCTGTCTATGCACCCGCAGGACGTAGTAAACTCCAAAATGTTGTGCAGGGACAGCGCTCTGATGCTAGAGCCGCCTTTCACCGAAGACTTCGCCTCTCCTTACAGCGTCAACATGAGCCTGCTCCTTCCTGACGTCACATACCTGCACCCCGGTCTCTGCAGGACTATGAGACAGATCAAAACAGAGCCGTCACACTCTCTGATGCACCCCACCTGTCAGGGCAACGGAGCGCCACCAGCACTCCCAGAATACCCAGGTGTTTTCGGTGCATCCGATACTGCCAGTGGTGGCTTTTTCATCAAGCAGGAAGTGCCAGATTTCCAGGATGTTCCCCTGTTCCAGCTTTTGAACTCTGACTTGGAGCAGCTTGTTCATGGTTCGCAGCTGAACTCCATCCCCATGGCCCCGTTAAGTCTTCCTATGGGGAACGTCCACGTAGGCCCAGCGCAGAATTCTGCCAAACCCACAAGCAGCCCTCAGAATGAATGTTTCCGACACTTCGGCCACCAGCAGAGACCAACCTATTTGCCACCTTCTCCGCCGAACTCTGAGCCCTCAAGTCCAGACAGGGGGAAGGAGCTCCTCCAAAATCTATCCCCACCTCCCTCCTATGAAGCCAGCATCGCCTCCAAGTTAACTTTTCAGACCCACAATCCCATTGATCCAGGGCAGACTTCTAGTGTAGCTCCAATCCAAAACCCAGACCAGCATTCCAATGTCAGATTAGTCCAAAGCCCAGGTCCTGTGCCAGTCCAGCGTCCGACCCTGACACCAGTTCAGACAACGCCAGGTGTCGGCCCGATGTCCCCAGTGTTGGGCCAGTCGGCTCTATTTAAGAACAACAGAAGGAATAATCCTGATCTGGAGAGACGGCGGATCCACCACTGTGATGTCCCAGGTGAGTGTTGTTTTTATTTTTAGGCCATGTCAAAGCGAGAGGACAGTATTGTGGTCTTAATGAGCTCTCTTTTTTTCTTTAGGGTGCAAGAAAGTGTACACCAAGTCTTCTCATTTAAAAGCCCATCTACGGACACACACAGGTAAAATGTTTTGAGTTGTTGTTATTTTGGGGTGAAAGTGGTGATGTTGCCACGCAGAAAAATGTACTTGGCATGCAGATGCATTCTGTCTGCTGACAGACCTGGCCCACATTTCACTGCTGTCAAATCACATAAACCCTGCAGCTCTCATAAAGGGGGCAGGGGAAAAGACAGGACATGCTGTGATTTATGGCTCACAGCCACTTGCGTAAGAAAAAGTATCAGATTTTTCATCATCAAAGCTCCTCATCATTTATCAGTAATTTGAGGTGTTTAGAAATGTTCCATACTTTTAAGAAATGTTACTGATGGAGAGCTGTGTATCCAAATGTGTGTTGTCTGTCTGCCATAGCTTAATTTTCTCATTTTTTTGTCTTTCTGAAGGAGAGAAGCCGTACCAGTGCTCCTGGGAGGGATGTGAGTGGCGTTTCGCCCGTTCTGATGAGCTGACTCGCCATTTTAGGAAACACACCGGGGCGAAGCCTTTCCAGTGCAGTGTGTGTAACCGCTGTTTCTCCCGCTCCGATCACCTGGCCCTGCACATGAAGAGACACCAGAGCTAGAAGCCCTCTTCTTGCAAATAAGTCAATTTTTTTTTCTTTTTCTCTCCAGTAAACATGGACTTTAAATATGGAACAACCAAACAAACAAATTAAAAACTATGGGCTATTCCACTCACTCCCCAGTGGAGATGTTCTTAGCAGTGCTGGCCCACAAGTATGTGTTTCTTTTATTGTAAAAAGATAAAATATTACCGTTGCCTTATTTTATTTCCACATGTATGTCCCAGTATTGGGGGACAGTTACAAAGGTGTAATTAGCCAAATAATGAAATAAAATTTAAACCTTTTTTAGCCTTTATTTTCACGGTCATATTTCCAGATTTTGTTTTACTGCAAAGTACCTAAAAAAAGGTCAAATATCAATATTTAACTTTCAAGTTCTTCTTTGTACAGATCACATGATGTCATTTATGGCCATTTATTTAATTAACCTAAATGACAAACTGCCATACTGTAAGTGCAGATATAGTGTTGCTATGAACTGGAAGGTCAAAGGATGTGTTGTTTTAGCCAGCAGGACAAAGTGTGTTTATGCGTAATATAGACAGTAACAGGAGTTAGTTGAAGTTAAAGTACGTGAACAAGTTGTGGATTTACTAAAAGATGCAGTAGGAGGAATAAATATTGGGATGAGCACTGTTTGCAAGCCACGTGGTGAGTGCGGTGCTTACAGCATGACTTTTACACTGCCAGATTTATAGGTTACTTCAGTTACAACAAAATCTATATTTACTCATAACCCTGAAATAAAAGGAAGATAATGGGGATTAATTATAGTCATTTAGACAGCGCTATGAATGTTCTATATTTATGCCCCTGTATTGTAACATAGATGTTAAATGTCTTTCAGGCAGGTGCAAAGATAAATCAAAACGGTGCATTTTCGATTTCAGGCCTTCTATGAATACCACATGATTTTATTTCATTTTAAAACGTTTAACTTATTTTGATTTGTCCCATGTTAACTTCAGCAATATCTCATTTGACACGTACGATGGCATAAGAGAAGCGCTCAAACAAAAATTTCGAGAAGCTTTGAGCACATGACATTTCAGCAGCAGGTCAGGGTTATTTTTCTTTCTCCTGGAAGTTGTTGTGATGGACGAATGGAGACTCGTTCATCCTGACTTTTGAACGGTATCTTATAACAGGATTACATTATCATATTACTGATGATTTGTCTTTATAAGTGGTTTCAAAGTGATGTATGTGAGCTTGAGATTTTTTTTCTAGATTTAGACTGAGCACCTGCCAGTCTGAACATCTGTGTAAGCTTTTGGTTTCTTTGACTACTATCCACGAATTCAAACACCTTTTGAAAGTGCCTTTAGCTGCTTTGTTTGGATAAAGCTGCTCCATTGGGACGATGTTCTTTTATCAGGTACTCTACTCTGCTAAAATGATTCTACCGCCTCCTCTCTCTCTCTATTTATGACCAAGTTTCTTTATAATTTGAGTCAGGTTAAACAAAATTGATTTTTAAAGTCTCTTTAATTTGTTATTGTGTATATATTTTGTATCTACTGTTTAAGGATACAATCCATTGATTGTTTTCAGGTGTATAAAGATTTTAAACTTTTTTTTAAATTGCAGAGACTGTTTATTTTTATTTGTAATTTTCTTTTTTGCAAAGTCTAAGAAGGATCAAATTATAGAATACTGTTACAGTGTACACTGTCATCACAGGCAAGATAGCAGCTCAGTAGAGTATGTGCCAGTGAATTGTTGCAATACTTTTAAAATATATATATACACACAAATATTTTGACATTTGTCATAGCTTAATAACATGAAGACGTAGTCTAAATTGATCAAATTTGTGAACCTCACAGTGCAAATAAAGGTTTTGTGTTGAATATGTTGACGTGTGATTTTTAAAATATTGTTAAATGCAAAACTTTTTTTTTTTTTACATTATCCATGTGTGTTTCATATACATTAGGCTTTTAAATCGTAGGTGACCACTATGTGGATCTTCTGTTAGTAAAAGTTTCTTACGCACACTAGAGGTCTATTATATCTGTTATATCCATCCACAGTTTGTTGTTAAAGGTCAACACAGGTTGTATTGATGTCGACTAGAGTTATTACAATGTTTGCATTTTGTATGAAAATAGCAGGGCTCTATTAAAAAGTTGTTGTTTTTTACACAGATGTAAAGTTGCAAGTTCAAAATGTTATAAATAGATTTATAGCGCTTTGAGTGGTCGGAAGACTTGAAAGGCGCTATACAAGTACAGGTCCATTTACCATTTAAAAGTATGTTCTGATTCTAAATGAAGGGGCACTGACAGACAGCCACTTGAAAAGAGGAAACAACAACTGAACATATTTATGTGCAAAATTTTCAATTTTAAATTCCAAATTGGTCCACAAATGTTATTCTTTCTTCACATCTCCCACTGTTAGATTGCCTTTATTGCTCATGTTATTCGTAGAGCAGCCACACATGCTTTGGCTTAAGTACTGAGTAATTATTCGGGAGCACACACCTAATGCACTTGTTTTTATTAACAATTCTAAGTAGTGAAAATAAAACAAGAATACTACACGGGAAATCTTGTTTTTAATTATTGGAAAGTGACATGAGTCATAGCAGAGGTGCTGCTGACAAAATGTGCCAAGAGAAGCTGTCTGAGCCTGTCCTTCTTCGCCAGGAGGATTCTTACAATATATCACTCTTATTTGCTTTTAGCTTCTTTGCTCTGTACTTTGCTTGTACAGTATAGCCCATAGGTTCTTGTGAGTGATAAATCACGCATGCGATATACTGCACACCGAGATGCTTTTGTGGAGTGGGAATTGAAACCTTGTTATTGTAATCATCTGAATCCTTTTGCTGGCAGACAGAAACATTCATCCAGATCCAGTTATAATGGAGTGCTGCACAGGATGTACTGGGCGTTTTCTTTTAAGTTCAACCTGTTCTCAGAAACTGTATTCACTACATGTTGTGTTAAAACACACCAGGTCTTTAAATATCACTCTCTGATGGTATTAGATAATAACAAAGTAACATTGTATTACACAGAGTTACACAATGTTTCACATTGATATTTAAATATGTGAGTGAGGTACTAAAGATTATATATATCAGATGTACTCTGTGTACAGGCTACTGTACTGTATATCACCTATAATTTAAAATGCCTTCCCTAATACCAAGATTAGGTTTCTGAATGCCAGAGAATGTGAGTACAGTGCTCAGATGTCTCCATGACATCGAAACCGCATACCATCCATCTCAGTCGTAGATAGCAACTAGCTCCATACCAGTGTGTTACATACAAAATGCAACTTTATTAACCTTCATGCCTCCATTCATATTGATATACATGTATATGTTTGAACTTATTTTTAATTTCACAGCTCCATCCATATGAAAAATACAGAGAAAAAGGCAAAACACTGACTGGATACTTAAACAACTCTTTGAGAAAAGAAAAGTGTAACAGAAAAAAAAAAGGACACCTGTTCTTGAAGATTTTGAAAAATATCAGGATTAAAAATTTCTTTTACAGATGTGGAATTCCATGAGCAGAATCTCCCTTTTTGAAGCAATGCTGAGCAATATCACATTTTTTTTTTTTTTTTTACGGTAAGAATGAAAAGATCTGAATATATTTACACTACACTCACTTTACATAAATACAGGAACAACGATTACTGTACGTAATATCAGCAAACTCGAAACAAAGGCATTGGCTTCACTACTTAAATTTTCAAAACCAGGAACTCAAAAGCAGATGTTACACAGAAAGTAAAATAGATATTGAACTGATAGAGAAGTGTAAGTTCAGTATTCATTAACAAAGGCGTCACTCTACAGCCGGAATCCCAGCCACAGCATTTTTGTCCCCCTGTGGGTAAGATTCCTCATTATCTTCCATGGAGTCACTATGTTGAGTTCATGTGATGAAGCTGAAACATCAAGAGGCCTTTGTAACTCAGTTTTGTTCCCCTTAGAGGAAGTGACTTATTGCAAGCAAAGTAATAACGCGAGCTATAAACAGCCTGTGAAAGTGTTATGGGTGGATGCTGCATTTGACACAATGGCATAAGGCTCAGTGCGAAAAGAAAGTGAAACATTAGAGGTCCGACTTGCATAATGTTGTCTGTGCTTTTTCCAAAATTGAAAATTTATTAATTTGAGCACACATGTTGAAATCTAAACTCTGCACAGAGCAGCTGATATTACAAGTTTGCAATATGAGGCACTATTCATTATTATTGCATAACTTTGACCCTGGTTACCGTTACAAAATTATGCTTTAAAATGAGGAAAGAGATGCTGAAGGGAAATATAATACACCCTGTCCTGTGGAGACACCATATTCAAGTCTAATTGAATTTAGCAAAAACTGGTGTATTAAGGCATGCAACGTCATATACTGAATATGAGAGTACACGTGTTGTTGATATGTGCTTGATCAATATAATTTCTTGTCCGGGTATAGCAAAATAGCAACACAGGGAATCAAGTACCTTAATACGGTCAATGTATATAAATAATTTGTTGATTATAGCAAACACTGGTTCAGCCTTGGGAATAAAAATGATTTGATCATGAACTTATTTAACCACAAACTAAAGAAAGCAAACTGTTATATAACATCACATATGATAATTTACATGATGAATACCATTAGCCCCATTTTACTGTATATCAAATTAGATAAATTACAGTCTCTGAAAAAGACTTTACATGTATAAATGTATTTCCTGCATCTACTAATCAAAAGCCCTATTTTTCCAATGTATATACAGGCTGTAGAACTTTGTAATAAGTTTTATCTTCACTATCACATATATTACAACATTTCAAAAGATCCTTTTTACAGAAGAAAAAAAAGTTATATGCAATGATGAAGTGCCCCTCAATAATAAAATGTTCTCATACATTATATGGATAATAAAATATGATGATTATTTGTTTATAAATTGACATCTGAAATAAAATAATATGAAAATCATACTAATAAACAAAACAAGGTGCTGATATGCTTTTGCCAAAATGATAATACAACTGGGCATAATGACATGTGCGCAAACAATATACATAAATAATAATTTCAATTACTCCGTTACATTGAGGGGGTGTCACATACATTGGGGTGCATGTATGGCGATTACCTCCTGGATTTGGCTACATTGCTGAGAGCGAGGAATGTAAATGTGCAGGTGTGTGTCTGTGTGTGTATGAGTGTATTGTTTTCAAGGTGCTATTATCAGAAAGGTTACCATTTCTTTTTACTGGCTCCGGTCCAATAAATGCATTTAGCAGCACTATCAAATAAAATGGGTTGGCCTGAAACTCTGAGTTTATGTCTGCAGGTCGTACACAGCATGGAGAGCATTGGAAATACCTACAAAAGTGTCTGTTATTATGACTGTAAAAATATACATTAATTGAATTTAGTAATCAAGAATAAGTAATGTTCTCCAAGAGATTTTTCTTTGCCAGTAACTGCCCATAAAGTGTAGTCTGACTGTACATACATAATGTATTCATGTATGTACATGTGTATGTATTTTTTATATATGTGCTATAAATGTATGCATAATGTGATTCCTCCATCTGTCAGCATTTTATATAGCCAAATTGCAGGTACATCAGATAATAATCTTAACAAATATCTGGTCTGAGGTGAGGATATTTCAAGTGAATGTCTCTATTTGAGACAAACAAAATAAAACAAAACGAAAAGATTCGGAGTAACGCACTGACTGCGACACGTCGGATTAGAGCCTTGTGCTGGAGCTACAAATCAATCAACAGAGGGAGTCGTGGTACAGAGTGAGGAGTTGGCCCAGTTAGAAACTTCTCCTCTGGTATTACTGACATCAGCAAACAGAACAAAGAGGAGGCTGACGTTCCTTCTCGTCACTTTGTTCTGTATGTATTGCTCTTCTGTATTGTACATCAGGTAACCACGCTATCCCTGTAACACTGCAGCCGATGTCAGTTTCAGCTTATGGTCAAGTGCTGCTGTGCAAAACCACAAGGCAAATTCCTTTCACTGTCAAACCCAGCTGAGAAGACAGAGCTGAATAATAAAAACAGATAGAACAAGACAGAATGAGAGCTAAGTCTGTAAGGTGCCACTATTTTTTTTTTTTTTCACATACTGGATATCTCCTCTGATTGTTTCAAAGTTCACTGTACATGAGGGGTTGTATTTTTCTGAGTCAAACATAAGCAATAAGCAGGCATAAAAAAAAAAAAAAGCAAGATTCAATAAAACAAAACGTTGTCATACTGAAAGTATATTTATCCTTTAAGATTGCACTTTACTGATTGCTAATCACAGCACAAAATCCACCAAAGATTTTTTTTTTTAAGAAAATGCTTTCAAGAGGCTCAACATAAAGAATAGCACTGATGAGATCCGGCCCTGTGAGCGGGTCATAAACGGTGTGTGTGCCTTTGCTGGTGCGATGATATGCATGTCCAGTTTTCATTGTTTGAAATAAAGCAATGAATATTGGAAAGAGTAATGACGTGTTGATGAGGTTGATCCATTCAGGTTGTGGCTATTTGAGTTCATTTCTTTTCTTGTTTGCTGGCTATGAGAAAAGTGAAAGTCCAGCCCTCTTTTAGCTTCTATATGGCATGCCTCGGATATGACAGCAGGCTCCAGCAGACAAAGGGAACCATGGTGAAATGGCTCTCTCTGCTGGTCACAAATCCGACTCACAGGGAGGCACGGTGCAACAATACTGCCTGTAACTCCAAATAGGCCCATGTCCTTTTCCTGTGATCAACTTCTTTTCTAATCACACAGGAAATCCATTCCATACAATGGGGTCTTTCACATTATGAATGCTGGAAAAGCAGCCATTTAAAACAATGATG